CCAGATTCCAGCATCCTGCCGAGATGCACAGTGGGAGGCTGCAGGTGATGGCTCAACAGATGGAGTATCTAGCACCCACCTGGGAGACCAGGATCGAATTCCTCGCTATTGAGGGCATTTGAGGCGTGAACTAGCAGATGGGAGATCCCGTTTTCTGTCTGTCTGTCCTTTTCAGATAAATAAATATATATATTAATAAGAAATGATCTTTCAGTTACAGCTGTCTTGTGGTCTAATATAGACATAAAGAATGGACTTAGTTAGGCCTAATACACACAGTTGAAGCCTCCTTAATGAGACTAAAGGATTGTTTACAAGAAATAGACTATTACCTATTCTTACTAAATTGAGGAATATGGTATAGGATATGAATAGCACTTTGAGACCAAATTCATGTAGTAGGCAAGTATTTAATAACAAAGAGTTGTAGGAAGATATTTGGCATAGCAGTTATCTGCCAGTTCATTCCCCTGATGGCTGCAATGGCCAGGACTGGGTCAGGCTAAAGTCAGGAGATTGGAATTCCATTCTCATGGAAATTCCATGGGTGGCAGAGTCTCAGTTAGGCTGTCTTCTGCTTTTTCAGGCACATTAGCAGGAAGCTGGATCAGAAGCGGAACAACTGTGCCTCACATGGTTACTCTGATGTGGGATGCCTGCTGCACCAGAATGCTCGCCCCATTTTTTATTATTTCATTTAATTTTTACTTTTAACTTTTTATAATTCTTTTTACAAATTGCTAGATTTTATCCATTTTATTTTTTTAAGATTTTATTTATTTATTTGAGAGGTAGAGTTACAGACAGTGAGAGGAAGAGACAGAGAGGAGAGGTCTTCCTTCCATTGGTTCACTCCGCAGATGGCTGCAACAGCCGGAGTTGCACTGATGCAAAGCCAGGAGCCAGGTGCAATTCTTTCGGGTCTGCCATGCTGATGTAGGGGCCCAAGGACTTGGGCCATCTTCTACTGCTTTCCCAGGCCATAGCAGAGAGCTGGATGGGAAGAAAAGCAGGCAGGACTAGAACCAGTGTCCATATGGGATGCTGGCGCCGTGGGCAGAGGATTAACCTACTGCGCCACAGCGCAGGCCCTACTTTTAATTTAATTTTTACTCTTTTCTCCTCTTAGTCTACCCTATTGACATCCTTACTATCTCTTTCCATTTATTCCTCTTCTTGTTTGGTTTCAATTGGTTATATTCCCCAAGAAAAATTATTGACAAATGTATTTGCCTTTCTACTGGAAACCAGTAGGAATAGGACTGGATTCTTTCTTATCAGAATTATAGACATAGAAGCCATAAAGCAATTATTAAGTTAATTTTAGAGCCGGCGCCGTGGCTCAATAGGCTAATCCTCCACCTTGCGGCGCCGGCACACCGGGTTCTAGTCCCGGTTGGGGCGCCGGATTCTGTCCCGGTTGCCCCTCTTCCAGGCCAGCTCTCTGCTATGGCCAGGGAGTGCAGTGGAGGATGGCCCAGGTGCTTGGGCCCTGCACCCCATGGGAGACCAGGAAAAAGCACCTGGCTCCTGGCTCCTGCCAGGATCAGCGCGGTGCGCCGGCTGCAGCGGCGGCCATTGGAGGGTGAACCAACGGCAAAGGAAGACCTTTCTCTCTCTGTCTCTCTCTCTCACTGTCCACTCTGCCTGTCAATAAAAAAAAAAAAAAAAAGTTAATTTTAAAAGTTACATACAATAAATTCTCAAATTTTAAACAACAAAAATTAAAATTAAAAATAAATTTTAAAAATGATATTTTAGAAATCTATATGCTACATTCTTTATTAAAAGTTACTAAAAGGTAATTTATTGCAAATAAATATACTTGAGGATGTGAAATACATGTTTTATAAGAACAAAACATGTAATTTTTAAATTATCTTTAAATTATTTTACAAAACAGCATCATTACAAAAAAAGAAAATCACTAACATGAAACTTACTCATACTCTTATCACCAGAAAGCAACTATTTTAATTTTATATGTTCCTCTCCAGGTTTTACCCATATTCATACTTGCAGCCATGTATACTTTCCATTTAATAAAATATTATAAGCACTTCTCATATTCCTATGTAGTCTTACAGTTATGTCTGACACATTGATGTGCAAATAGTAAAACCTTCTTATTTCCAAACATGCAAAATGACCCTATACTAGGTAGAATTACTACGTGCATGCTCTCCTCTGAGTTACTTTATATATATTTCGTTTTCACAATAACTCTCTTAGGGTGTACTCTGTCAGTCTTGCCATTTTATGGCTGGAAAAACTGAGCCAAAGGAGGGGTAAGCTGTTTTCCTAATTGAATTATAAAGTGGCAGATTGGGACTTGTATATAGGTAGTCTGCTTCCAAAGTCCATGCTTTAGTCTAGTAATAATGTCATAGTTAACTTTTTTTATGACCATTACTAACATAAATTAAGCAATCTGTTTCAAAATACTTGTACCTATTGTGATGCAGCAGTGCAAACAGGCTGCATTTTCCTCTTCATTTTGCAGATCTCTCCAGTTACAAATTAGATGGAAAGGCTGCCAGAAGCAGCAGTAATCAGACAAAACAAAACAAAACAAAACTTGCAGGAATTAGTGAAGACACTACATTTGTACTTCTCAAAAATGACTGGTAGGCTTCTGATTGTGCTGTGAGGAGACTGATGACCTTCCCCCAAAGTTTAACAATGGGTATAGTTGTCAAAAACAACCATTTCAGAGCTTTTTGAATAATCAGAAAAAGATGGTACCAAACATTGTTGAGCTAAACTAAGGAATATCAGAACAAATGGAAGTGTACATATTAATGGATTGGGAAACTTGGTATTAGCATAACAGTTCTTCCCAGATTGATCTCTAGGTTTAAAGACATTGGAGTTCATGAAGTTACTATTAAATTTGTGTAAAAATACAAAAAAATCTAAAATAGTGAAATCATTTTTTGGGAAGAACACATTGGAGAATTTATAGTATGTAATTTTAATCCTTATTGTCAGTATATAATAATCAAAAAAGTATAGTATGGACATAATGAAACACAATACAGAGTACAAAAATAAGCTTCCACAATTAGGCTCATTTGAGTTTCAACAAAATCAGTTCAATGACAGTTCAATTGGAAATGGTTCTTCACCTAGTGCTGGAACAGTTGTATATCTCTATACAAGAAAAAATGAACTTAGGTCCTTAACTCATAACTTACACAAAAACTAAAGTGGGTCAAAAAGTAAAATACAGGAGGTAACCAAAGCAAATTTTTTGTGACTTGAGGTTAAAGACTTCATAGATATGACATTAAAAGCTTAATTCATGGGGCTGGCACCATGGCATAGGAGGTTAATCCTCTGCCTGTGGCACCGGCATCCCATATGGGTGACGTTCAAGTCTCGGGTGCTCCTCATCCAATCCAGCTTTCTGCTGTGGCCTGGGAAAGCAGTAGAAGATGACCCAAGTGCTTAGGCCCTGCACCCACATGGGAGACCAGGAAGAAGCACCTGGCTCCTGGCTTCGGATCGGCGCAGCTCCGGCCATTGCAACCATTTGGGGAATGAACCAGTGGAAGAGAGACGTTTCTCCCTCTCTGTCTATGACTCTACCTCTCAAATAAATAAATAAAAATCTTTAAAAATAAATAAAAAAGCTTAAATCATGAGGGAAAAAATAATAATAAATGTAATTTCATCAAAATTTGAAAATAAAATTAAGAAAATAAATAGATGTTTGGATGGAAAGGAAATATTTTCAGGTAAGTTATCTGATAAAAATAATTTGTATTCATAATATATAAAGAACCTCAATTTTTAAAATATATTTTAGTCATTTGTGAGACAGAGAGCTCCCATGCACTGGTTCACTCCCCCAAATGCCCACAACAGCCAGTGCTGGGATGAGACTGAAGACAGGAGTTGGAAACTCAATCCTGGTCTCTCATAAGGGTGACAAGAACCCAATCACTTCAGCCATCACCACTGTCTTTCAAGGTCTGCATTGACAGAAAGCTAGAATCAGGAACTGTAACCAGGATTCAAAGCCAGGCCTCTTAGGATGCAATCATCTTACCCACTAACTTAAATGTCCACTATCTATTATGAATTTTTAAAAATGTAAAGCAAGAAATTAAAAAAAAATTGTCAGGGCCAGCACTGTGGCATAGCAGGTAGAGCCACCACCTGCAGTGCTGGCATCCCAATGGGTGCCAGTTTGTGTCCTGGCTATTCCACTTCTGATCCAGCTCTCTGCCTGGGAAAGCAGTAGAAGATGGTCCAAGTGCTTGGGCCCCTGCATCTATGTGGGAAACTCGGAGTAAGCTTCTGGATCCTGGATTTGGTTTGGCCCAGCTTCAACCGTTACAGACATTTGGGGAATGAACCAATAGATGGAAACCTTTCTTTCTGTCTCTCCCTATGTCTGTAACTTTACCTCTCAAATAAATTAATTAATATTTAAAAAGTGATTTGTCTATTTGAAAGAGAAACAGAAGAGATATCTTCCATCTGCTGGTTTACTCCGCAGATGGCCATAATGCCCTGCTGGGCCAGGTCGGAGCCAGGAGCTTCTTCCAAGTCTCCCACATGGGTGAATGGCAAGCACTTGGGATATGTTGCCATGATTTTCCCAGGCCATTAGCATGCAGCTGGATCAGAAGTGGAGTAGCTGGCACCCATATGGGATGCTGGAATTGCAGATAGTAACTTGACCTGCTATGCCACAATGCCCACCCGCAAGCAAGAACATTTTACTTAAATGAAAGGTTAGTTTGCATCATTTCCATTACCTCATCAAGAAGAGATATGAAGCTGGATTCTGTGAAGTGTGTAAGAGAAAAACGAAGAAGGAGAACTTAGGGAGTATTTGATATTTCCGAATTCAGAGGTCAGAAGGGTGTGTAATAATACAAAACGACAAGCACTTTTTAGAAGATGGTCAGTTATCTGATTTAACAAGTATCTCAGCACTTTTAACTCCTGATCGTAAAAGTCACACATCTCTTAAAATTGCCTTTCAGCTTACTACTTTGTATGAGAATTTAAGTATGCGCAACCAACAGTTAGAAGAAGAGGTGAAAGATCTAGCAGACAAGAAAGAATCAGTTGCACATTGGGAGGCCCAAATCACAGAAATAATTCAGTGGTGAGTGCTCTTTTAAATGTGTGTATGAATCACTGTGGACATATGGCTAAGTTGATGTGAAGCTACTAATATTTTTTTAAATCCTGTTTTTTACTATGAGAAATGTTTCTTTGAAAAACATTGTTATTTCTAATTTTTTTGTATGTTCTGCTTTATTTTCTGTTATGTTCCTGTTTCCTAACTCCCAACAAATGGTTCAGACCAGCTTTTATACCACACTTTGAGATCTGATACTTTTTTCCAACAAAAGAAAATGTTATTCCCATCTACCCTAAGAGTCAGTCCTTAAAGAACTGAAGAAGTACATCCACCAGCTATAAATATTTTCTGAGATCAAAACTGTTAATATTTGTTACTAAGAATTAGCAGCTTGAGAAAGATTTAGAAGCTGAATTTTCTACCATCTTAAACTTTTTTTAAAGATTCATTTACTTACTTGAGAGGCAGGGTTGCAGCCAGAGAGGGAGAGGGAGATGGGGAGTGGAGGTCTTCCACCCACTGGTTCAATCCCAAATGGCTGCAACATCTGGAGCTGGGCTGATCAGGAGCAAGGAGCTTCTTTAAGGTCTTTCACAAGGGAGGCAGGAGTCCATACGCTTGTGCCATCTTCCACTGCTTTCTCAGGCCATTACAGAGAGCTGGATCGAAAGAGGAGCAGCTGGGACACTTAACTTATGCCCATACAGAATGCAGGTGCCACAGGTGGAGGCTTAACTACCGCTGCACAGTGCCAGCCCCTTTACTCATAATTTTGACAGACTAGTTTATATATGGCTTTAAAAAATAGATTTATGGCCGGCGCTGTGGCTCAATAGGCTAATCCTCCGCCTTGCGGCGCCAGCACACCGGGTTCTAGTCCCGGTCAGGGCGCCGGATTCTGTCCCAGTTGCCCCTATTCCAGGCCAGCTCTCTGCTATAGCCCAAGTGCTTGGGCCCTGCACCCGCCTGGGAGACCAGGAGAAGCACCTGGCTCCTGCCTTCGGGTCAGCACGATGCGCTAGCCACAGTGCGCCAGCATGACGGCCATTGGAGAGTGAACCAACGGCAAAAGGAAGACCTTTCTCTCTGTCTCTCTCTCACTGTCCACTCTGCCTGTCAAAAAAAAAAAAAAATAGATTTATTTAATTGAAAGGCAGAGTTATAGAGAGAAAAGAGAATCATTTTCGACCTTTTAGCTAAGATCAAGTGTGGAGAGAAAGGAGAGACAGAGCGAGATTTTCCATCTACTGGTTGACTCCCCAGTGGTCGCCTATGGCTGGGGATGGGCCAGCCCAAAGCAGGGAGCGAAGAGCTTCACCTGGGTTTCCCACATGGGTGGCAGGGGCTGAAGTACTTGGACTATCTTCCACTACTTTCCCAGGCCATTAGCAAGGAACTGGCTACAAAGTGGAGCTGTTGGACTTGAACTGGTGCTCATGTAAGGCCAATATTGTCAGGAATTGTGCCACAAACCAGTCTGGTTTATAATATTTTAAGAGCTGTAAATGGTTACAATTAATTTACAAAAAAATTAGTTTTTTTACCTTCTCCTTAAGCTTTTGGGATTTAATTTTGAATATTTATCTTAGTGACCTTCGTATTTATTAATTGAATGATATTTATGATGCTTGATAGAATTTACATGTTTTTATTATATGTGAAGTAGGATCCAATGAGAACTTTATTTTTCATAAAAATAATTGTAATTTCTATATTTAGTTAATATACAAATTTACATAAATAATAGTTAATATAAACATTTTATATAAAATAGAAAATTTTAATTTTTTATATTTAGTTAATATTTTCACTCTTTATTGGCATCTGATAGATGTTTATATCAAAACAACTTTTTCTTCCCCACATACTTATAGGCTAGTCATTTGTTGGGTATTTTAGTATACTTTGCTCGTATTTGATTTATGTGTTTTTTCCATGTTCCTTCCAAATTAATAGCCTTCTTTTAAATAAGATCAACAGTGAATAAATATTGACTTTTCAAGTAGTTCTACACAAATGACTCAAGTATTTTTTTTAAAGATTTATTTTTATTTGAGAGGCAGAGGGGGAGAGAGAGAGAAAAAGGAGAGAAGTTTTGCATCGGCTGGGTGACTCTCCAAATGGCCGCAACAGCCAGAGTTGTGCCGATCCGAAGCTAGGAGTCAGGCGTTTCCTCCAGGTCTCCCATGTAGGTACAGGGGCCCAAAAACTTGGGCCATCTTCTACTGCTTTCCCAGGCTATAGCAGAGAGATGGATCAGAAGCAGAGCATCTGGGACTCAAACTGGTGCCCATATGGGATGCTGGCACTGCAGGTGGCGGCTTTACCTGCTATGCCCCAGCACCAGCCCCTCAAGTATTTTGATATAGTCACTTAACTGTAAATCATTTATGTTAACTAATTCTTTGGCTTATTGAATGTACCTGTTTTGTTTATATAAAGGAAAATGCCCAAATTATGAAAATTTGGTTGTGTTCCAAACAGTGCAGCTCTTAGTTAATTAATGTTTAATTTACATCCATGTCATAATGTCTACGTTTCTAAAGTAAAATCATTTTATTCTTTAGCCAAGTTTATAATATCAAAGATTATGGCATCATTTGCAACTCTGTTATTGTATGTCAAATATATAATCAGTTGGAACTGAAAATAACTTCACAGAAGACAAAGCTGATATGACCAAAGCCTCTGATCATGAACCACTAATCTTTTCCAGTGACTGGCATGATGGGTTTAGCTGAAATGGGAAGTGATTCAGGAAAAAGGAAGCCTTTTAGATACAGACCTGTAGAAAGGTTTAAAGGGAAGGATTCAGCTGAAAGTTTTTTTGTGATGCCACAGAATACTCTTTATACTTCTCACAGTGAAGTGAAATTTGCAGTAGAAATCAGAAATACAAAGAAGTTACCTTGAATAAAATTCATTGTTTAGAAATGGACTAATAGGCCGGCGCCGCGGCTCACTAGGCTAATCCTCCGCCTAGCGGCGCCGGCACACCGGGTTCTAGTCCCGGTTGGGGCGCCGGATTCTGTCCCGGTTGCCCCTCTTCCAGGCCAGCTCTCTGCTGTGGCCAGGGAGTGCAGTGGAGGATGGCCCAGGTGCTTGGGCCCTGCACCCCATGGGAGACCAGGAGAAGCACCTGGTTCCTGCCATCAGATCAGCGCAGTGCGGCAGCCATTGGAGGGTGAACCAACGGCAAAGGAAGACCTTTCTCTCTGTCTCTCTCTCTCACTGTCCACTCTGCCTGTCAAAAAAAAAAAAAAAAAAAAAAAAAAGGACTAATAGATAACAAAGTAATCAGTAGGTAAAAAGTAAGATATATATTCCTGTTCTCAGTTTCTTACCTATTGGAAAGTTAACTCTGAGATAAAAATATCCAAGCTTATAAAGGATGGAAGACTTGGGGCCGGAGCTGTGGCTCACTTGATTAATCCTCCACCTGGGGCACCAGCATCCCATATGGCACCAGGTTCTAGTCCTGGTTGCTCCTCTTCCAGTCCAGCTCTCTGCTGTGGCCCGGGAGGGCAGTGGAGGATGGCCCAAGTGCTTGGCCCCTGCACCCGCATGGGAGACCAGGAGGAAGCACCTGGCTCCTGGCTTCGGATCGGCATATCTCCTGCCGTGGTGGCCATTTGGGGGATGAACCAATGAAAGGAAGACCTTTCTCTCTGTCTCTCTATCTCACTGTCTAACTCTATCTGTCAAATAGGATGGAAGACTCAGCTATTTCCTGCTGATGGCTGGAGAAAGCAGCAGAGGATGGCCCAATTGCTTGGGCCCTTGCACCTATGTGGAAAACTCAGAAGAAGCTCCTGGCTTCACACCAGCCCAGCTCCAGCCACTGTGGCCATCTGGGGAGTGAACCACTGGGTGGAAGATCTTTCTCTCTGCCACTCCCTCTCTCTTTCTATAACTGTGCCTCTCAAATAAATAAATAAGTGAAATCTTTTTAAAAAATTAATAGGCTACTTCATAGGATTTATTTTTAAGTGTCCTCATGTATAAAGCACGCTTCCCTACAGTAAGAAATAGAAAATTCTATAAATATAGTATTTTGCCTTCAAGTAGCTTAAAAATTGAAAGTTTAAAAACTGATGTAACGGGCCGGCACCATGGCTTACTAGGCTAATCCTCTGCCTGCGGCGCCAGCACCCCAGGATCTAGTCCTGGTTGCTCCTCTTCCATTCCAGCTCTCTGCTGTGGCCGGGGAAGGCAGTGGAGGATGGCCCAAGTGCTTGGGGGCCCTGCACCCGCATGGGAGACCAGGAGGAAGTGTCTGGCTCCTGGCTTCTGATTGGTATAGCGCACCGGCCATAGCGGCCATTTGGAGGGTGAACCAAAAAAAAAACCTGATGTAACTAGAACTAAAAATAATTTACTAATTGTTCATGTAAACAGACTTACTGTACAAAAACTGATATTTGTATACAAGTATAGTGGAGAATTATCTAAGACTAGTTGCTCAAGAAAGGTGGGAGTAATCAGTTGAACTTTATTGTGTTTTCTGAAAACACTGTGAATTTTTTTTAAGATTTATTTTATTTATTTGAAAGAGAGAGAGGGGTAGAGCCAGAGAGAAAGTCATGTGTCTTCCACTCACTGCTTCACTCCCCAAATGACTGCAGCAGCCAAAGCTGTGCTGATCTGAAGCCAGCGTCGGCCCAACACTGTGTTTAATAAAGCATTCTGTGCCTAGTTTGACCAAATTGGAGAATTTCCATAATAGTAGGAACTAAGATTAATAAAGCTACCGCAATACTATTGTTTGAATACTAGATAAGAATTTGATCTAAGAAATTTGGGAGGGGCCGGCGCTGTGGCGCAGCAGGTAAATGCCCTGTCCTGAAGTGCCGGCATCCCATATGGGCGCTGGTGAGAGTCCCAGCTGCTCCACTTCCTATCCAGCTCTCTGCTATGGCCTGGAAAAGCAGTAGAAGATGGCCCAGGTCCTTGGGCCCCTGCACCCGCGTGGGAGACCCGGAAGAAGCTCCTGGCTCCTGACTTCGGATCGCTGCAGCTCCGGCCATCGGCGGCCATCTGGGGAGAAAACCAACAAATGGAAGACCTCTCTCTCTCTCTGCTTCTCCTCTCTCTGTGTAACTCTTTCAAATAAATAAATAAATTTTAAAAAAAGAAAGGAATTGGGGAATTATATTGCTAGTTAATGAAGCCATTGAAGCTGTTGAGATCTTTGTGGGGAAAAAAAGAAAAGAAAGGATGGTGAGAGCTCCATATTAGAAAGTATAGGAAACAGCTGTGTAGGAGACCAGGGATAATGTTTTCGTAATCATGAAAAGGTTTCAGTAATGAACTTCATTAAAATCCATTCATGTAATTTGAAACAATTCTCATTTGTATATTCTAATAAGTTATAATTGATCCAATCATAGTGTCTTCTAGACATTAGGCTGGAAGTTCACACACATTCTCAATTATTGGAACAGTCCTTTGATGGAGGTATTATCCCCATTTTATAGGTGAAGTAATAGAGTTACCCAAAGTCACAAAGCAGCAGAGTTAGGATTTGAGATCAGGTCTATGTGACTCAAGAATTTAAGTTCCTAGTTACACTCACTCTCACTCTCTCTCTCTCTCTCTCTATATATATATACACACACACACACACACACACACACATATATATTCATTCTATCTTCCCAGCTTCTCAAGAACTGTATCTTACATATATATCCTTCTGTTTTCCAAGTTTGCCTTATGAAATAGTATTTAGTAAATTGATGAGTTTTCTGAGCAGACTTCAGAGGAGAGGATTAGATATGCCAGGAGAATGAGATTAATCTGTGTTGGTCCTTTGAAATTGAAGAGGAGCTTAGACTTCAGGGAATGTATAGGAGTGAAAGAAGAGTTCAATATTATAGCAATTACATATTATAACAATAAAAAAGAAGAAAAATGGTTTTGGAGAATGTAAACCAGGACAGACAACTTTTGTGGGTTAGAAATGGTCTGCACATGTTTAAAAGAAATTAAAAATATTAGGGGTAGAGGAGAGCATTTGGTGCAGTGGTTTAATTGCCTCTTTTGGATGCCCATATCTTACATTAGAGTGCCTGATTTGAGTCTTGGCTCCTCCACTTCTGATCTGACTTCTTGCTATTGCATACCCTGGGAGGCAACAGATGATGGCTCAACTACAAAAGTTACTGCCATCCACGTGGGAGACTTAGATTGAGTTCTGGGCTGCTGGCTTTGGCCTGACCCAGCCCCAGCTATTGTGTGGGCATTTCAAGAGTAAACCAGCAGATGGAAAATATCTCTCCATCTATGTGTAAGGTATAGTAGAGAAGACAGTTGTCTCTGCATAGTAATGAATTGTTACGGAATTAATAATGTATTTGAGGGGCTGGACTGTTGGCATAGCGGGTAAAGCCACTGCCTTCAGTGCCGGCATCCCATATGGGCGCCGATTAAAGTCCTGGCTGCTCCACCTCCAATCCAGCTCTCTGCTATGGCCTGAGACAGCAGTAGAAGATGGCCCAAGTCCTTGGGCCCCTCAACCCATGTGGGAGACTCAGAGGAAGCTCCTGGCTTCGGATCAGCACAGCTCTGACCATTGCAGCCAATTGGGGAGTGAACCAGTGGATGGAAGACCTCTCTCTCTCTCTCTCTCTCTCTCTCTGCCTCCTCTTCTCTTTCTGTGTAACTCTTTCAAGTAAATAAATAAATCTTTATTTTTTTAAAAAAGGAATACACTTGAGGCTAGCGTTTTACCTAAAGGTTAAGATATGCATATCCCATATTGGAATGGCTAAGATCAAGTTCCAACGCTGGCTTTCAGTTCCAGGTTTTTGCCAAGGCACATGCTGGAAGGCTGCATGGGATGGCTCAGTAGTTGATTCTCTGCTTCCCATGTGGGAGCCTCTTCCCATGTGGGAGACTTGGGTTGGGTTCCTGGCTCCTGGTTTCTACCTGGCCTAGTGTTGGTCATTGCAGGCATGTGGGAAATAAAACAGTAGAGATGGGAGCTCTCTCTGCCTTTGTTTTGTGTATATGTATGTGTCTGTGTTTATGCCTATTGAGTAAATTTTTAAAAATATTTATTATTTGGAAGTCAGAGTTATAGAGGGAGAAAGATCCTCCATCTGCTGGTTCATTCCCCCATGAGAGCAATGGCCAGGGTTAGGCCAGGTCAAAGTCAGGAGCCAGGGGCCCCTTCCCATGTGGGTAGAAGGATCCAAACTCTTGGGGACATCTGCTGCTGCTTTTCCCAGGCCATTAGTAGGGAGCTGGGTCAGAAGTGGAGCAGCCTAGGCGCTCCGGTGCCGTGGCTCACTTGGTTAATCCTCCGCCTGTGGCGCCAGCATCCCATATGCACGCCGAGTTCTAGTCCCGGTTGCTCCTCTTCCAGTCCATCTCTCTGCTGTGGCCCGGGAGGGCAGTGGAGGATGACCCAGGTGCTTGGGCCCCTGCACCCATGTGGGAGACCAGGAGGAAGCACCTGGCTCCTGGCTTTGGATCAGCGCAGTTCCGACCGTAGCAGCCGTTTGGGGGGTGAACCAACGGAAGGAAGACCTTTCTCTCTGTCTCTCTCATTGTCTATAGCTGTCAAATAAAAAAATTAAAAAATAACAAATGCAGAGTTTTTCTTGAGAAATTATAAAATGTAGAATTTGTCTTACTGAATATATTTGAAAATTTTTTCTACCTAAAATCATAATAGATTTATCTTCTATGGATAACCTAAAGACAGTAAGTAGAGAGGCCGGCACAGTGGTGTAGTGGGTAAAGCCACTGGCTTTTATGGCAGCATCCTGTATAGGCACCTGTTTGAGTCCCAGTTGTTCCACTTCAAATCCAGCTCTCTGCTATGGTTGGGAAAGCAGTAGAAAATGGCCCAAGAGCTTGGGCTCTTGCAACCATGTGAGAGACCCAGAAAGAAGATCCTGGCTCCTGGCTTTGGATCGGCCCAGCTCTGACCATTGTAGCCATCTTGGGGAGTGAACCAGTGGATGAAAGATCTCTCTGTCTTTCTCTGCCTCTCTGTAACTCTGCCTTTCAAATAAGTAAATAAATGTTTAAAAAGAAAAAAAAAACTGTAAATAGAAGCTGAATTTCAGTAGACTTCAATTTTTTCTCTTTGATTGTTATTTTATTTTCCATTTTAGAAAACAGAAGGGCTTAATACTATAGAATCCTGTTTTTCATGGAGTATACTACTTCAAATAAACTTTGTAAATGTAGTTTGTTTTGGTTTTGAGAAGGGTGTGTTGTTTTCATGAGGTAAAGTGTCAGAATCCAGTTAATTAGAAGTCTTAGTATTCTTTTTTTTTTTTTTTAAGATCATTCATATTTTTGAAAGGCAACATGACAAAGATAGAGAGAGGTGGGGGGATATCTTCTGTCTACTGGCTTGCTCCCCAAAATGACCATGACTACCATGTCTGGATCAGACTGAAGCCAGGAGCCAAAAACTCCAATCCTGGTCTCCTACATGAATCACAGGGACCCAAGCACTTGTACCATTTTCCTCTGCCTTCTCAATCAAATCAACAGTAAGCTGAATCAAAAGTGGAGCAGCTGGGATTCGAACTGGCACTTTGATATGGGATGCCAGCATAAGAAGCAGTGGATTAACCTGCTGTGCCAAAGTCTCATTCAGCCCCTTAGTATTTTGAAATGCCTCACACAACTGCATATGTGTTTAAAGAGTTCATTTAAAGGGTTAATTCTGAGTTCAACTGTGAAGTTTTTCTAATTTAAGAGAGATGGGTAACCCAGAGAGCTGGCCTGGAAGAGGGGCAACCGGGACAGAATCTGGTGCTCCGACCGGGACTAGAACCCGGTGTGCCAGCACCGCAGGTGGAGGATTAGCCTAGTGAGCCATGCTGCTGGCTTCACATATTTCTTTATGGAGCTTTAAAATAATATGTACCTCACTGAATGTTTTCTGTTCGTTTTACTTTTGTAGTTTATCTCTGTTTTTTCTATATATTCTAGGGTCAGTGATGAAAAAGATGCACGAGGATACCTTCAAGCCTTAGCTTCTAAAATGACTGAAGAATTGGAAGCATTAAGAAATTCTAGCTTGGGTACACGAGCAACGGTAAGCTCCTGACATTTTTCATGGTCACTTAAATATTAGAAAAAATAAGTCTCAGTGGTGCACTACGGGTGCCGAGAAGGGGAGACATGTGAGCGCAGGCAATATGGCTGGGCCTTCGGACTCCCCTCGGTGGGTTCCGGGCCTTCACTGCCAAGGCAGATCCTCAGAGAAGTGGCCGGGTGACGGCAGAGGTGATCGAGCACCTGGAGTGTCTAGCGCTCGTGGACTTAGGCAGTCAGGAGGCCGTATCACAGCTGGAGAAAGCCATCGCCTTCGCCGACCAGCTGCGTGAGGTGCACACGGATGGGGTGGAGCCTATGGAGTCGGTCCTGAAAGACAGATGTCTATACTTGAGATCCGACAGTGTAGTAGAAGGCAACTGTGCTGAAGAACTACAAAACTCCCATCGTGTGGTGGAGGAGTATTTTGCCCCCCCCGCCCCCCCCCCCCCCCCCCCCCCCCCCCCCCAGTAATTAATATCCCTTTGCCAAAGCTGGATGAACAAGAGTCCTTCCCACACAACTGATTAGCTGTTTTTGGAAGGGAGCACCCTGTGAACATGTAGAAGCATAATGATGGAATTTTATTGTAAACACTAATGTTCCCATTTCCTTCGGTCATCTGAGAAAAATGGATGCATTTCTTAATCAACTCTTCTGAAGATGGAATTGGAAAAGACCTAGCCAAAATGAGGCAATCAGTTCCTGGTGCTAACAGAAGTAAAAGAGCAAAAATCAGCTTCCAAAGAAATGGATCAAGTATTTTACTTAGAGGCCTGTTCAGCGTGGAAAACATTATTCTCCCTTATCTCTCTCTAAAAAGACTGTATACCAAACTGCATAAGTAGCTTTTCTGTTTAAGTAACTGGAAGACAGAGCACTTGATCACTGTGTGACAATCTCAACTGTCATTTTCACTGCTGTTTCTGTGGACTCAAGCAGCTGTATCTTTATTAAATATAACTTGAATTTGCTTGTGGGTACCTGCTTTGTTCCAAGCACAGAGCTAACTTTCTGCTAAGGTCTGAAGAGAATTCAAAATAGACACAGCTTGGGAACTCCTACCCTAGATCCATCTGCCATCCCACAAAGTGATTCTACAGAAAAAGCTCTGGGCCTGAAATAAAGTCTCTTATTCTTACCTTTTAAAAAAATAAGTCTCACAAAACACTATTATAAGTCTGATTACTTATATCAGTTTGTCTAACCCTTAACTCACTGTAAAGTTTTTCATAAGAAGTCATTTCAGGTCTTTTCCAGTTTAGGAAACTATTATACCTAGCTGTTTAACTGCAGTTCATGTGGTTAACTACAAGGGAAATAACTATGAAAAAGAGCTCACTTTTTATGTAAGAGTTTATAATTTCTGAATTGAATGAAAAACAATATATTCCCACAGGTAATATTTCTATTCTGTTGTTAGAGAATGATAGCACGTATAAATGGCTTCCAGATTTATTTGGATTACCAAATTGAAATGCCAAAAATAAAATCAGATGGAGCTAAAGACCAATTCATATCATTTCTTAGGATATGCCCTGGAAAATGCGTCGTTTTGCAAAACTGGATATGTCCGCTAGATTGGAGTTGCAGTCGGCCCTGGATGCAGAAATAAGAGCCAAACAAGCCATCCAAGAAGAACTGAATAAAGTTAAAGCATCTAACATCATAACAGAATGGTAAGATTGAATAATAGCATCCTAGTAGAATCATTTCTAAGTTTGTAAAAAATGATTTGGAAATTTGTTTAATTTCCTACCTGTTGCTTTTTTGAAAAAAAGTGATGACCAGAAAAAGATGTGAATATTAGAAAATAAATGCTTTCAAGTCCTGTAGGTAGTGATGAGATTTTAGTATAGCCTTGTTTTTTTCTGAGTTGTCCATAAAGTAAACTTACTAGTATTAGGTATTAATATATTATTTACTTTTCCACTTATTTATAAAATTAGTTGACTCTCAAATTCTATTCTGTTAAATATAAAGTCCCTGTGTTCAAGGATAAAATGTTTCTATAGAAATACAAGCTATGATCAGAACATATATAGTCTTCTGAAAATTGTGATTGCTACCATTGGTCTTTTATAAAGATTTCATTCATAGTGAATTTCATAATAGGATATTATCTGTTCATTTTAATTATTTTCATTTTCCTTTATTTTAAAAAAAGATGTTTATTACAGTCTCTGATGCAGTTAGCTAATGAATATATTCTCTCAGTTTTTGTCATAATACTAGAAAAAAGTATACTCTTAAGACATAGATGATACAATGAAAAATAATAATTGGATTTAATAATAACAATGATTTGAAACAGCTCATTCTAGATAAGAGGAACAATTCAAAGTTCATATCACAAATGAAACTATAAATATGAAAATCTTTTGGACTTTCAATACACCAAAAGTTCCAAGAGTAAGAATGCCTATAAATTCAGTTTTTACTCATGGGAAATCAGAGTCCTTAAACTAAAGTCATTAATAATTTGAATCAGATTAAAGGCCAGATACATGGTGTCCTTCTTGGTTTATAAACTTTTTATTTATATACTTTATTATAAATAATACAACCATAAATTAAGTATGTTTTACTTAAATGTGCTAGTGGGGTGGTGAAAGGGAGGAAAAACTTTTGCTAGAGAATCTGAATTGACCCAACTTAAAGAAGTACTGAATATCATGTTTTGGTGTTGCAACGTGGAATAAGAGCAAACCTTTCTTCTTATGCTCAGGACATCTAAGTTTATACATTTCATAAATCAGGTATATAAATCGAAATGAGAATTGTAAACTTACATGTATATAATCTGCTCTGTTGGTTGTCTGAATGATATCTAACATAATGCTAAAAAGTAACTGTCAATTTTGTAACATCTTTTAAAATTTAATTTACCTCAGGTCCAATAAACTTTTTCTAATTATTGTAGACCTTGAAGGGCCTCTGTAGCCTCCTTTTCAACTATTGGACTCTGCTGTTATAGTTCACAAACAATTATATTCAGTCCTGAAATGAATGGGCCTACCTGTTTTCTAGTAAAACTTGATTTATATGGAAATAAGTTGCAAGCTGTATTTGTCCTGCCTGTGGTCCCCTAATTTAGGATAACAGACATTTAGACCAAATAAGTCCAGCAGCATACAAGATTACTCACTTGGGGCCAGCATTGTAGTGCAGTGGGTTAAGCTGCCACCTGTGATGCCAGCATCTCATATGAGCACCCGTTCTGGTCCTGGTTGCTCTACTTCTGATCTAGCTCCCTGCTATTGCACCTAGGGAAGCAATGGAAGGTAGTCGAGTTGATTGTTCCCCTACTCACATTGGAGAACCAGATGAAGCTCCTGGTTCCTTGATTTGGCCTGGCTCCACCCTCTCCATTGTGGTCATTTGGGTAGTGAACCAGCGGATGAAAGATATCGCTCTGACTCTCTCTGACTCACCTTTATCTCTGTGTATCTCTACCTTTCATTTAAATAAATAAATCTTTAAAAAAAAAAAAAAGGTGACTGTCCAGCAGTAAAAATGAATGACATTTTCTCTCTTTTCCTCTTATTTAAGTAAACTAAAAGATGCAGAGAAGAAGAACTTGGAGCTGCTATCAGAAATGGAACAACTGATAAAGGACACTGAAGAACTTAGATCTGAAAAGGGTATGGGAGTGTCTGTTTGCATCTTACACAACTTACTATTCCATTTTGAATACATCTTACTAAATAAGAGTCAGTTTATCATGTAGGTGGGAGAATTGTTTACATAAACAGTTCTGGTGCTCATTTATGAATACATATATGTATGCATGATGCATGCATACATATTTGGCAAGACTGGTGTCTGGGTCATTTTTTTAACTTGTTATTTTAAAGGTTTCATAGTAACAAAAGATATTTTGCCATAAATTTGACTTTTTTCAGTGCCATGGACTGTTTCATAAGTAACATTTTTGTGATTGGGTAAAGTTTTTTTGTAATGTACTTTATTTGATTATCAGATGTCCTTGTATGAGGTAGTCACTCTAACAATGGCAGTGTGTGTTAATGTAGAAAACTTGGTGAGGATACTCTAACAAATAAATATTCATTTGCACTTTTTGTGTACCTAGAATGTGCACAGCTTATGGGGCAATTCATTCCCAGATTTGTTGAAGAAACAATATATGAAATAACTAAAGATGAATCTAATTAGTATTAATAGGATCTTTCAGTAATGATTAATTATTTTGGCATGTCAGTGTCATCTTCCAGTTTGTTATTTAAGTTGCTTGCTCTTTGAAACTTCCTAGGATTTATTACTATTTTTTTGAAATCTTTACTTGAATATTTTTGATAATGTGGTAGCAAACTCATAGAGCTTGATAACTTTATTACATGAAGCTTTGTTTCCATAATGTGGACATTAAAAATGTGAAGAGGCAGATGTTAGGCACAGCAATTAAGGTGCCACTTGGGATGCTTGCATCCCATATTGTAGAGCCTGGTTTCAAGTCTGGGCTCCACTTCTGATTCCAGCTTCCTACTAATGCATGCCCTTGTCCAAGTACTTGGATCCCTGTCTACTCACATGAGAGAACTCGATGAGTTCCAGGCTCCCGGCTTCAGCCAGGTCCAACTCTGGCAGTTGCAATCATTTGAGGAATGAACCAGTTGAAGAGAGATACTGCTCTCTGCATTTCTTTTTTTTTTTTTTTTTTTCATGTTCCTTGACATTTTAAAGCTTCAGTCTACTGCCTCTGCCCACCCCAATTTTTTTTTCTGCATTTCAATTAAAAAAAAAAGAATATGAAACTTAATAAAATTCGAACTTTTTTTAAGATTTATTTATTTATTTATTTGAAAGGCAGAGTTACAGAGGGAGGGAGAGACAGAGAAAGAGATATTCCATCCTCTTGTTCAGCTCCCTAAATGGCTTCAATAGCTAGAGCAGGGCCGGGCTAAAGCCAGGAGCAAGGAGCTTCTTCCTGGTCTTCCATGTGGTGTAGCAGCCCAAGGATTTGGACCATCCTCTGCTGCTTTCCGAGATGCATTAGCAGGGAGCTGGATCAGAAGTGGAGCAGCTGGTACTCAACCCAGCACTCATATGGAATGCCCATGTTGCAGGTCCCAGTCTAGGCCTGGGAGGCAGCAGTAATGGCTCAAGTATAATTGGGTTCCCACCACCCACCTGGGAAACCTATTGAGTTCCCAGCTCCTGGCTTTAGCACCTGCCACTTGCAGACATTTGGGAAGTGAACCAAAGGACAGGAGCATGTGCTTATTATATTACTCTGTCTTCTAATTTTATATGTATATGTATATATGGTTTTATGTGTCTGTAAATATGTAAAATTATTATTATTGACAGGCAGAGTGGACAGTGAGAGAGAGAGAGAAAGGTCTTCCTTTGCCGTTGGTTCACCCTCCAATGGCTGCCGCGGCCGGCGCGCTGCGGCCGGCGCACCGCGCTGATCCGAAGGCAGGAGCCAGGTGCTTCTCCTGGTCTCCCATGGGGTGCAGGGCCCAAGCACTTGGGCCATCCTCCACTGCACTCCCGGGTCACAGCAGAGAGCTGGCCTGGAAGAGGGGCAACCGGGACAGAATCCGGTGCCCCGACCGGGACTAGAACCCAGTGTGCTGGCGCCGCAAGGCGGAGGATTAGCCTAGTGAGCCACGGCACCGGCCATTATGTAAAATTATTAAAATATTTGATATTCAATAAATTTTCATTGATTACATTTCTTAATTAACAAGAAAAGAAAGAGCCCAGAAACAGTGAGTAGGAGTTTAGATCAGGAGCACAGTCATGCTAAAATTAGAACCAACCTAGGTTTTTATTTCATGAAGAATGAAGGAAGACAAATTATTTACTGAAAAGATGTCAAATATATACAAGACATGGGCAACTTGTGGTCCTAAGGGCAGTGTCATAGGAAAGAGAAAGCAGTGCAGAGTAGGACTTGGATACTAGATGACATTGACTGCATCATTTTTAGACTAGACCTAAGTGTAATTAATTCAGTTCATCGCACTGTTTTATTGAAGTTTATCACATTATTTTATTAAAGTATGTTAACCAAAGGTTTTTTATTTGAATGTTGAATATTGCGTAATAGCATTTTATTGTATGCTGTAATTTCATATACTTCTTAAGTACTACAATGTAATATTTACATAATGAGGCCAAGAATTTTTTTTATTTGTTTATTTGCTCTTATATCCCAAATATCATAAACAGTGTTTGGCACATAATAGGCTCTCAATAAATATTTGTTGACTGAATGAATTTCTGAGCATATTGCCTTACCTCATAATTCTGGTGTATTATCAGAGAGTAATATGAAATACACACAACTTACTTCATGTCAGTTCTTAAAGCTATGGGAGTCAAAATACACAATTGGTTTTTTTTCTGTTTTTTCCTCCTTTGTATTTATCATTACTTAGATGTTTTAAGAATTATTTTAGAGGGGCCGGCGCCGCGGCTCAATAGGCTAATCCTCTGCCTTGCAGCGCCAGCACACTGGGTTCTAGTCGCAGTCGGGGCACTGGATTCTGTCGCAGTTGCCCCTCTTCCAGGCCAGCTCTCTGCTGTGGCCCAGGAGTGCAGTGGAGGATGGCCCAAGCACCTGGTTCCTGGCTCCTACCTTCAGATAGGCGCAGTGCGCTGGCCACAGTGCGCCGGCCGCAGTGCGCCAGCTGTAGTGGCCATTGGAGGGTGAACCAATGGCAAAAGGAAGACCTTTCTCTCTCTCACTGTCCACTCTGCCTGTAAAAAAAAAAAAAAAATTTAGTATTTTAGAAAGTATGCATTTAAAGTTAATACCATAGCCAAGAGATAGATATGATTTTTTTAAAAACTTTTTAAATTCATCTGAGAAAAACAAGGTTTTGGGAGTCTTCATTCTGTCAGTTAAACAGTAACAAATCAGATTAATGAAAGTGTCTTCATAATTATTATTATTATTATTTTTAATCTTTGCATTATTTTCTTTTAAATGATTTTGTTATTTTAATACATACCCTGCTTCATTGGACTTTCAAAACAGAAACCTTATTTGGTGATAAATTAGGTTAGAAAAGTCAGACATAGATAGACCACTATTCTTTATATGTTTTCAAATCTACCAAAGAGTAAGCAAAAGTACAAATTCGATAAATCAAAGTATTCAACAAACAAATATTTTATGGAAATCAGTATAATTTAACCTTTAAATGATATTCTAGGAAACTGATTATTTTAGTTTTAAAATATTTAAGAGTTAATACTTCAGATCAGTTTTGAAATACTATAGTTTGTTAATAGCTCTTAATAGTTTAAGACAAAAAAGGTTACCCATGAAAATTAGTTGTTATTGTTTTAGTTTTTTAAAAAGTTGCTGCTGTCTTCTAGGTATAGAGCACCAAGACTCACAGCATTCTTTCTTGGCATTTTTGAATACGCCTACCGATGCTCTGGATCAATTTGAAGTAAGTATTAAACTTTTCAGGTATCTTTTGTGGTGAATTTAAATTTACTTTGTTATTTAAAGTTCTCTAGTAATGAAACTGTTTTATTGGTTCCAAGAAAAAAGAAACTAGAATCTATGTAAACAACAACATACTAGGGAAATAATATGTTCTCCATTCTTATAGAGACTATAATCGCGTTTATATTTAACAGAACATGTAAGAATGAGAATCTTTGTAAGACTTAAAAGTAGTTTCATCTTCTCTGAGAAACAGTAAAGCAGAACAAATCCCAATTTTTGAAGTAATTTTATTACTTTTCTTTCTCATCTTAAAGCCCTAAATAAGAAATAAGTGAAAGTGTTGATGATCACAATTGGTTCTTATTCCAAATCAATTCATTTGTTGGAAAGTATACAATTAGGAATGTTTTTGTTACAAGTATTACAAAGATTCTGTTAGGCAGATTCCACAATAATGAAATAGTGGTTATGTAACTCTTTGTTAACCCTTTGTATTTAAAAATTTTTGTTGGAGAAAAATCAGATTCATATTATATAGTATGATTTTATCTCAGAAAATTTAAGATGATGATTATATATTCAACCAATAATCATGTATGTATGTCTAAGGCACTGTTCTAAGTACTGGAGGTACCATAGTGACCAAGTCTCTCTCAAATAGTTTATATTCTGATGAGAAGAATTAGAAGCAAAGATTCTGTATCTTGCTTTTAGTTGTTTACCTTCTAAAATGCTTACACTTAATTTGATTACTAACAAGTTTCATATTATTACATTTTGGACACAGTATATGAATAATATACATTTCTTTGTCAAAGGGAAAAAGAATCATTCTTTAATAATAAATGTATCTCTGATTTTTTGGGAACAATGAGAGTGACTGCTTTTCTCATTTATTTATTTGAATTAATGTCATTTGCCTTTCAATTGTTTTACAAATTTTTGATTTATTCTTTGTTCTTATTAAATTGCTTCATCCATATTTTCTATTTTTTTATTGCTGTATTCGTTAAATAGGATTCCTTTTCTTCTTCCTCATCTTCACTGATTGATTTTTTGGATGACGTAAGTCTTTGATTTTCAAACCAATGCATCCTTCAGTAAAAGACATCAGTGAATTGATTTGAAGAATTTATTATATTATTAATATTTATTTCGTAATGCAGTCAGTTTTAGAAATATCACAATTAAAAATTTACCTGGGCCAAACTATGCTTCTTATCTTAAAATAATAAAGAATTTATCATTATTAAACATAAGAAAGTAATGATAAACTTTGAAAAATGCTTTGGCCTTTGGAGAATCTCTGTATTTTCATTTTTTGCAAGAATTCTTAAGACTGAAATGCTTAATTATTGTCACTATATATACAAATACTTGCACATTTTTATTTTTCATGATTTCTATTTTACTTTTAGTTTTCTTTTCAGCACTATACTGTTTAATTTCTGTTTTGGTTAAAAATAAACCCCTTGTACTGTAATCAGAAGAAATATCACTTTTATTTTCTAATAGATGTTATTATAAAACAGTAATAGAGAATAAATTCATTTTAATGCTGATAGTATTTCTCTTCTAATGTAGAAAGTGATTGTAGTTAACAGATGCTATATATGCACTATAAATTGACTGCATTATTATTTTCTCTACTGAATTCTATAAATTGAATAATTTAGAAGATCCTATTAAACATATATCATTTATTCTCTTTACAGTACTGCCTGGGATATACATTCTCTTTATTCCACATTAGATTGCACAGTGTTATTTGTTGTAAAACATTTTGTTATCCTATTAAACATTCAGTCTTTCCAGAAATGAGGCAATGAAATGAGGCAAGAAAATTGATTCAAATGCAAATAGCATGCATGGAACTGTTTTTAAAACCAGGAAAATCTTTCAATGTTTTATTCCTTATCTTTTGTTAAGTAGAATATTTATCATATTCAGAAGAGAATTTAGTATAATTTTCCATTAAAGGAACCTCCTGATTTGAGTTTTTTAAATTATGGAACAAAATAGCGATTTGTGTATGTTTTGAAACATAGCCAAGTGTGTACAGTTCCGTTTTAAATGGAAACTTTTATTCTTGAGACAGGAAATTATTCTGGTTAATTCTGTGGCATAATGAAAAAAGAACTCGCTTAATATTGAGTATTACTGCATTTACATTCTTCTATTCAGTATTTTTAAATACAATATGATATTTCCATATCGGTATCACTTATGTAAGAAAGAATGGGAAGGAAATTTGAGTAAATTATTTTAGTTTTTCCCATTAGAATACCATTTTCAGTTTTCTTTCTGACAAACTCTTATCTCCATCCCCTTCTTCCCAAAGAAAGGTCTTTAATTGTAACACATAGAAATAATATATGTTTTAGCAAATAAAGGAGCAAATAAAGAAGATCCCGTAGGAATGTGTCCCTCAGCCCAAGTCCATAGCACATTTCCAAGCTCATATTCCTCTTACATAGCCACCACCCAGCTCCCACTGAGCCGTCAAGTCACAGCAGTTTCCCTGTTCCTCGTCTTCCAGGCATAACCTTTCTTATCCTTCACCCTGTATTATACATCATAAGCTCAGTTCTAACATACATCTAAGGTTTTTAAGAGTACAAACTGTTGGTAAATGTAAAAAGGAGTTGAGTTTACAAAAGCTTCCAAATCTTTGTGATTTATTCTGCAGCTCTTAAAAGGCATGATTTTTAACCTTTGTTCTCCCAATTTATTAATTAAGCAAATAAGCTGGCTCAAATCCTGTCAATAATACTCTCTACATATGTAGTTTGGAAGACACTGTCTTACCCTTCTTCATCTCTCCTTGCTCTTCTTACAAGTAGGAAGTATAATGTACCAATCTCCCAGGGTTGTTTGAAGATTCAGATAAGCAGTGTATGTAATATCCTCAATAATAATGGTTACTGTTTCTTTATTCTTCATAGGCTGTTGCCTCCCTTCTTACATTCTCCTTAGCTTCCCTTCTTATCAATCGGTTCAGTTTCAATTAAATGCTCTCTCAGTTCTTCACCACTTCAGCCTTCCACTCTCCAACAGAATGAATCACAGTGCTCTCCTTCAGAAATATTGAATCATATTACCCTTGGAAAATGATTTTTATCTGCCAGAGGGAAGACTGCAGTAAACTTCCATTTTAAGAATATGTCCTTAACTACTGTTTTATGGTGCAAACTTCTGTTTCTGTTGTTTCTTGTTCATAACTATGACTATCCTTCAAAGAATTACTGTTCATTCATTTTATGTTCAAAGTCATAGTAAAATGATTTTGAATAGGTATTCAATTTTTGACATGCTTGGGTTCTGCAACCTAAATATTTAATGTAAAACTTTCTTTCCTTTTTTTTCTCCTATGAGCTTTCCATTTGTTTGAGAGGCATAGTTACAGACAGAGATCTTCTATCTGCTGGTTCACTCCCCAAATTGCTGCAATAGCCAGAGCTGGGACAATCCAAAGCCAGGAGTCTTCTCCAGGTCTCCCGTGTGGGTGCAGGAACCCAAGCACTTGGGCCATCTTCTAATGCATTCCCAGGCCATTTTCAGAGCTAAAGATTTCTATTAGGCATTTAGATTCTTAAGGATATAAAACACATGCTTTAAAGTGGTAATATGATTGCACATTAAGATAAGGTTCTGGTTTACCGTGAATCCGATTTCAGCATTTATGGAAAACCATAGTAGGGGCCAGTGCTGTGGCATATCAGGTAAAGCTGCCACCTGCAGTGCTGGCATCCCGTATGGGTGCTGGTTCGAGTCCTAGCTGCTCCATTTCCGATCCAGTACTCTGCTATTGCCTGGGAAAGCAGTAGAAGATGGCCCAAGTCCTTGGGCCCCTTCATCTGCATGGGAGACCCGGAAGAAGCTCCTGGATGCTGGCTTCAGATCAGTGCAGTTCTGGCCATTACGGCCAACTGGGGAGTGAACCAGCGGATGGAAGACACCCCTGCCCCTCTGCCTCTCCTTCTCTCTCTGTGTAACTCTGACATTCAAATAAATAAATAAATCCAGGAGAAAAATAAAAGACACTGTTGGGGAGGGTAAGCAGGGAGGGGGAGAGTGAGTTAGAGTTTTCCTCTAATTGCATGTAAAGAAAAAGTTTACCCTTGTCTACTGAAAACATAAAAATTGACTTCTAGGTTTGAGGTGCCTAAGGGATAGCCATGTGGAAAAGTTTAGCTTACCTTGAGATATATGAGTCAGAAACTTGAGGAAGTGGATAAACTGGCAATAGAGAGTTGGAATTGACAGCACAGTTGAAACTGGGTGAGATACCGCAGGGAGAAGATGGCAGCATGGGAAGAGCAGTAAGGCTTGAACAGAACCTTGGGATCTCCTGTATTGGAGAGGGGTTAGAGGAGGAACACTCACCAAAAGAGCAGGAAGAGCAATGGTAAGAAAAGGATGAGGTTACTATCACAAAAACTAAGATACTGTCGAGTTTTCTGGAGGTGAATGAACGGCAGCCTCAGAAGAGTTGACTGATCAGAGAGGGCAAACAACTCACCAGTGTTAGAATGATCAAAACAGAAGCCAGATGGTATTGTGTGATGAAGTAAATTGAGGGGTTAAGGTGTAAAGACAGTGATTGCATATCATTTTTGAGAAGTCTGGAGAGATTTAAATCCTAGCTTCACTATTTAACATGTTTTATGATTTTAGGTAAGTGATTCTGTTTTCATCTTTAAAATGGGGAGCTTAGTACCTGTTTTATAGGGTTCTATGACAATTAAGAATTCATATATATATAGCACTTTGGAGAGTATCTGCATACATTTCGCACACAATAAATGTTGGCTATTGTGATTATTAAGGAAGAGAGGAGACAAATAATGGAGGAAGGATTGGGGATTGTTATTTGGTTGTTTTTAGAAGCACGGAGGATAAGGGAAGTGATGCTATTAATTTCAAGGGAAAATAAGTGCTTTGAATCTGACTTTCATCACCATAATAAAGACTAACTAGACTGAAAAATAAAAACTTAGAACTCTATAGTTCTTTTTTTATAATGCGTCATCCAATTGATAAGTTTTTTAAAAAGATTTATTTATTTATTTGAAGGGCAGAGTTAGAGAGAGAGAGACAAGACTGAGATCTTCCATCCGCTGGTTTGCTCCCCAAATAGCCGTAAAGACCAGAGCTGGGCCAACCAGAAGCCAGGAGCCAGGAGCTTCCTCTGGGTCTCCCACGTGGGTGCAAGGCCCAAACACTTGGGCCATCTTCTGCTTCCTTCTCAGGCCATTAGCAGGAAGCTAGATGGCAAGTAGAGCAACTGAGACTTGAAGGGCTCCCATGTGGGATGCCAACACCACAGGAAGTGGCTTTACTTACTATGCCAGCTCCTCTGTAGTTATTCTAATCCTGGTTTGCTCTTAATTAACTATTTGGGACAGTGTTCAAGTCACCTTTATTTCTAGTTTCCTATAGAAAGAATTTCCTATCTTACCAGTCTGCCAGAGTTATTTTAACAGTAACACTGATAATGTTGAATGATATTTCTTATTCTCAAACTTTTCTTTGAGATCTAGAATTCTTTTAGATCCATTCTATAAACTGCCCTCCAGGTCCCCATAAAAAAATCTTGTGTATCCCTCTAAGTTCCCATACAAACCTTGTGTCTCAGTGATTGTACTTGTTCCATTGTTGCTGGTGCAATGACTTCCTTGCCAGTTTGTGAACTGCTCGGCCTTATTTATCTTTCAATCCTTTAAAAAGTCTGCATAATGCCTGATACATTACAAATTCACAAGTATTTGGTTGAACTGATAGAGGAGATTGCCTAAATACATGCATGCCATATTAGAGAAGCTCTGTGAGAATCACAAAGTTTCAGAAACTTGACAAATATTTTAAGTGCTTGTTACCTTTCTTAATATGACAAAAAGATTAAAGTCCTCCTTTTAACAAAGGCCTGAAGTCTAGTCAGAATGAACAATATTGTTTTTGTTTTAGTTCTTTATCAGTTGTTCTGAATTCCTGACAGTGCTCATCATTTAAAAGAATAATTTTTAAACAATGATATTGGTAGGTAAATGATGTTGTTGTTTCTTTCTTTTTTTTTTTTTTTTTTTTTTTTTTTGACAGGCAGAGTGGACAGTGTGAGAGAGAGAGAGGGACAGAGAGAAAGGTCTTCCTTTTCTGTTGGTTCACCCTCCAATGGCCGCTGTGGCCGGCGCACCGCGCTGATCTGAAGGCAGGAGCCAGGTGCTTCTCCTGGTTTCCCATGGGGTGCAGGGCCCAAGCACTTGGGCCATCCTCCACTGCACTCCCGGGCCACAGCAGAGAGCTGGCCTGGAAGAGGGGCAACCGGGACAGAATCCGGCGCCCCGACCGGGACTAGAACCTGGTGTGCCGGAGCCGCTAGGCGGAGGATTAGCCTGTTGAGCCTTGGCACCGGCCGGTAGGTAAATGTTTAAAACAGGCTTAGTAGTTACATATTTAATCCTTGTGATACTAAATCAGATGTACTTAAATCCTTTTGTAGTCATATATTTCAGCTTACCACAACCAACCTTTCCATTAAGAGAAATTGTCCACCACTTTGGTGGACACCACTTTCATTTGCTCATGGACCAAAGAAGACATTGCCAAATTTAAACATAGTTTCAACAACTGTTTCTTTACTGTCTTATTCTTTAGATTTCCCTGAAAATATATGTACTTTCAAACTATACAAAAACGTGGCTTTACGTGTATGTTTCTATACTTTGTCTGTTAATGCATTAGTAGTCACTGAAAGTCTTTGGTGCGTAACTATTTGTAACATGTAGTATTCTCCTTTCTCTGTTGAAGCGCTCTCCGTCCTGTACTCCAGCTAGCAAAGGCAGACGTGTAAGATACTATTGCACTCTGTGTACCCACCCTGAGGCTTTCTACCCCTATCTCTTTACCCTTTGCCTGTGGTTGCAGAACTTGAAGTTTTTGTGATGTACTATGACACTTACTGCATGCTTTGTGCTGCTGCTCCTGCTGTTGCTACTCTGCTATTCTGTGTATGTGTTGGGTTTTTTGTTTGTTTGTTTTTCTTTTTTGGCTTTGGCCGCAAAGCTTTAGGAATGTTGATAAAAACTTCTGTAGCCAAACTCCTAAAATGATCTTTTAATTTTTTGTGGGAGTAAATGATTCTAAGATATGCTAAATTGATCAAAGAAAAGTAAATGAATTTCTAAATAAGAACCTGATACGAGCAAATACATAGAGGTTTCTTAATGACTTTAATTATGTAGAAAGAAAATTTGATCATATCTGTAAAATTCCTTATATATGTTTCTTTAACTTAACTATAAGCATCTTCCTATGCTAACCCCTGCTCCCTGTTTTTCATCTGAAATGGATTAGTCACTAACTCTATCTGTGTAAGAGTCTGATACATTCACAATGAGGACTCTGTGCATGGAAAGGTCTCAACTTTTTCTGCAGCAATCCCCATCCCACCAGCAGTTATTTATACACATACATACATACTCTCCAGATGAAAAGCAGTCCACCTAGCTTATAATTGTGTGTTCCAATTTTTATATACTGAATAAAATCATAACATTAGAAAGGAAACAGTGATAGATCTATTTTTGACTTTGATCTGTCAGTTTCATGATCATTGGGATTTTCAACAAGTTAAATCCAGGATTGTTGGACTTTGAGGGATCTACATCAGGAAATTCTCTGGTGTACCGTTGGTACTGGAAGTAGTAGGGTGGCCCCCTGCTCCCTGTGCTCGTACCTTTCTGGTATGGTGGAAGGTTTGTTGTAAAAAAAAAAAAAAATGTGAATAACACTATATAACATATATTTTCAGACTACTGTTTAATAATGAGTAAACAGTTCATATACCAGTGCTATATGGCTAGTAGAACCATGAGTTCAACTGGTATCTCATTAATTACTGAACTCGTTTCTTGATTACTTTGAGATTTGTAGAGTGTTAAAACCATTGGGTATTTGGTTTTAAAAAAGTACTCTGAATATATGTTAATTATTTAATAAAACTTCTAGAAGGGAAGACTGTAATGTTGTATGTCCAGTAGGTTCAAATCATCAGTCCGTGAATTTACTAAAATTTTAAGTACTTGTTTTTGAATAAATCTATAATTCAGAGAGTTTTTGTTTTTCTGATTAATTTTTTATGGATTTGTTACATTTCATTTGCTTTGCATACTTCTGGGGTCTTCATTACCCAGGAAGTTTATATAAATCTTGAAATAAGAGTATTCTTTTTAGGGAAATAGTTGTATTAAGGCCCCTATTCTTAATTGTATGTCTTTATTCTATAGAACAGGAATTAGCCAGTTAACCAAAACCTGTTGACTTGTAATTACATACAATTTTTTAGTGCAGTTTTTCCTTGGTTAAGAATATCACAAATAAAAAATCGATCAATGAAAAGTGGTAGTGACTGATGCAGATGATGTAAAATAATGAATTATTCAATACTAAATAGAAATATCTCAGTGGCATAGTGAGGAACTTTAATATTCCCTGAAGCATCAGAATATTCCTGTAGGATACAAATGATTATATTCCTTACAGAAAACCTAATATGATTTTCTGTTTCATGTTGTATTTTCAGAAAAGCAAATTTTAATACTTTAATAAATTTAAAATCCTTTGACTGTAAAATATCATATAAATGAGGTGTTCCTAAATAGAATTTGCTGTATTCTTATTTCTAGTATAAGGCATCATTTATATCTGAATACTTAACTTATAATTGGAATTTACTTAACCATTGTATAAGTAAAATTTACCAATAGTATTGTTGTCTGAATATAAATGGTGAGTGTTAGTTCTGTAGTACTTTAATTAATAGAAACAGTGTTTCATTTCAAACTGTTCCTTTAAAGTTTGGAGCAAAGATTATAGTCAGCCAGCATGAGGACTTTGTTTTTATGTTTTCTTAGAACATTTAGAAATTTTCTCGAGTAGATATTCAAATAAATATATTTTTTCAAGAAAGTAGTTTATTTTGATATAAAAATCTATTGTTATTCTTCCATAACAGTTTGAAGAAATACATATAATGTCTTTTCATTACATCTTTTGGTCTACTTTACATTAATATATTTTTAAATTAATTGTAACTAGATGGATAACACTAATTATAACCTTCAGTCATTTATTAGGATTTATTTTAGAATAATAAAATATTTACTAAAATGTTTATTTCCAAATGATACAGCACTTTTCTATTACTTTTTTTTTTTTAACCATAAGCTCAGGTGACAGTTATATCACTAAAAGTTTAGGGTTATAAGTGTTCTGAATAAAAAAAAATGTGTTATTCCTTACTCCTTTATTTCCAAAACATTTCTAGATGAACAAAAAAGAAAAATTATAAAACACTGGATTTTTTTTTCTATTAATTTCTATATTTACCAATACAAACAACATGTTAGATGCAGGCTGTCTTTAATAGGCTGAGCATTTGTCATCTGAATCAAATCTTGGTTTCTTTCCCTTTTCAAAGAAGCTTTCTCATGAGAATGTTGCTACTTGTACAAATCTGTAATTATTTGGGTGGTTAAAAAAAAAGTTCATTGATATATATTATTTTGGAGATTTATTTATTTATTTAAGAGGCAGAGTTAGAGAGAGAGGGAGAGACAGAGAGAGTCTTCCATCTGCTGGTTCACTCCCCTAATGGCTGCAACAGCCAGATCGGGGTCAATCCAAAGCCAGGATCCAAGAACTTCTGGGTCTCCCAAACACTTGGACCGTCCTCTGTTGCTTTCTCAGGTGCATTAGCAGGGAGCTAGATTGGCACTGGAGCAGCTGGGACTCAAACCCATGCCCATATTGGCTGCTGGCACTGCTGGTGGAGGCTTAACCAGCTAATCCACAGTGCTGGTCCCCATTGATATATATTTAAGGTAATTAGTTCTAGCTATTTTTATTCTATGTAGGTTAAACAGCATAATTTGAGGACTTCTTGATAAAGAAATGATCTAAAAATCAGTTGCCTGATCCTGGAAAGAAAAAAGAAGCTTTATTTTATTGTGCTATTCTAAAAATACATTTTGATGATCATTTATTAGAAAAATCCCAATAGATTGGGGGAACTTGATGGTCTTTTTTGCGTGACAGGATTGTACAATGTGGATGATACTACTAAAACTCAGATTTTCTACTTTTTGCTTTCTTTTTTTATGTAGGGTATTAAGTTAAAAATGACATAGGAATAGTAGAGATTTTGTAATGACTGTTCAGAGTGAATCCTTAAAGTATATTTATTTAGGAAAATACATAATTAAAAATACATTTATATGGCCGGCGCCGCGGCTCACTAGGCTAATCCTCCGCCTAGCGGCGCCGGCACACCGGGTTCTAGTCCCGGTCGGGGCGCCGGATTCTATCCCGGTTGCCCCTCTTCCAGGCCAGCCCTCTGCTGTGGCCAGGGAGTGCAGTGGAGGATGGCCCAGGTGCTTGGGCCCTGCACCCCATGGGAGACCAGGAAAAGCACCTGGCTCCTGGCTCCTGCCATCGGATCAGCGCGATGCGCCGGCTGCGGCGGCCATTGGAGGGTGAACCAACGGCAAAGGAAGACCTTTCTCTCTGTCTCTCTCTCTCACTGTCCACTCTGCCTGTCCAAAAAAAAAAAAAAAAAAAAAATACATTTATATGAATATTCTACATTTTCACAGTAGATTACAGCTCAAAAATATATAGTGAATTGTTTATATTTTTCAGTTAAAGTTTGTTTCTGGGGCTGGTGCTGTAGCACAGAGGGTTAAAACCCCAGCCTGCAGCACCAGCATCCCATATGGGCGCCGGTTCAAGTCTCGGCTGCTCCTCTTCCAATCTAGCTCTCTACTATGGCCTGGGAAAGCAGTAGAGGATGGCTCAAGTCCTTGGGTCCCCACACCCACGTAGGAGACCTGGAAGAATCTCCTGGCTCCTGGCTTCGGATCAGCTCAGCTCTGGCCATTGCAGTCATTTGGGGAGTGAACCAGTGGAATGGAAGATCTCTCTCTCTCTATCTCTATCTCTCTCTCTGCCTCTGCTTCTTTCTTTATGTAACTCTGACTTTCAAATAAATAAAATAATTATTAAAAAATAGATTTGTTTCCAGTGTATTTACTTGGACAATTTTAAAATATTCTATACAATAAATATTAGCTATTTATTAGCTACTTTTTAATTTATTTTTTATTTATTTATTTGAAAGAGTTACACAGAGAGGGGAGAGGCAGAGAGAAAGAGAGAGAGAGAGGTCTTCCATCTGATGGTTCACTCTCCAGATGGCCGCAATGGCCGGAGCTGTGCTGATCTGAAGCCAGGAGCCAGGAGCCTGGAGCTTCTTCTGGGTTTCCCACACTGATGCAGGGGCCCAAGGACTTGGGCCATCTTCTACTGTTTTCCCAGGCCATAGCAGAGTAGCTACTCATTTTTCACTATTTTCCTTTTTTAGCATTCTTTGTATATAATCACATCTGATTATTGAATTGTGAGATCTTTGCTCTTTATGTGTATCACATTGTTTAGCTTTTCTTGCATTAATTCTTAATGCTAAATTTTTACAACAAAATTTTTTAGTTTTCATAGTTTAAATATTAATATTGATTACATTTGTTTTTAAAGTTCTTTGTATAAAAATTAATGTTACTAACTGCTGGTTTTGTACCTTACTATATCTGAATCATTGCCAATTATTAAAGTTAATTTTAGGCTATCTTTAAGTCCTACCATATAGTCACTGAATATTCTGAAAGGTTAATAGAATTGATTTCTTTTTAGTGGTTAAAATAGTCACTTATCATAAATGCATGGTAAGCAGTTAGTTATATTTAAAATGAACAACTTCTGGAACTTTTTGGTGAAAATTAAAACTGAAAATA